CGGTGTCGGATGGAATGGTTCTGAGAAAAGTTATTCCATGGGAAAGTTAAAAGATTTAAATATTCAGTTTCCGCTGCTTTTCTTTCCTTCAAGGTCAAATAGTGAATTGGCAGGTCTCTGAAACTCGCCCTCTTGTGATTCACACACTTTTATGGTGACAATATCAAAGCTTTTTTAAAAGTATTTAATTGACTAGGTAATCGTTTCAAAAGTTCTTCGATAAGGGTGATTAAACATTTTTAATAGTCTTTTAATATCGTCGTTTTGCAAAACCGCGTAACTGACATTTGTGCCAAAAATTAGATTTGCTCATAGGAAGCTCCAGCCATAAAGCCTTATCTATTCATACCAATATATCGATATTAGACCATGTACTGCAAAATAACAGCATAGTTGTTATACCGCTGATCAAGAGTAGCATATATTTTTACTCTCTCTGGTAAAATCTTGGTGACCTTACATACGCGGTTTTGCATTATCGTGATACGCGGTTTTGAACTTTAAATGACGATATGCTTCTTAAGTCAATTTTATCATGCAGTTCATTAGCCTCTTCTGTAAAATTATCGTGGAAAACTACGTTTTGTATATTTTTATAATTGGAAAAAATTTATTTGAAGGGAAAAAATCGCCAAAAATCGCCAATGGCGATTTCCTAAATTTTTACGCGCAAATATCTAAAAAAAAAATCGCCAAATTGGCGCGAAATCGCCAAATTGGGACACTCTGACGGTCGCCGAGATTCATATATGTGATCATAAGTGTGCGGTTCCATTCCCATTCCCATGCCCATTTTCCAAAATTTTATCATAAACGTACTTCTTGGTAAAGAATAGTTGTTATATGGGATGTGGGCGTGGTTATTGTCCGATTTTAAAAGTTTTCGGCCATTTGGTATGATGTAGCAAGGCCAATAATTGTGCCAAGTTTGGTAGAAATTGGTGCAGCGCTTACAAGGATATACACATGTAACCATAAGTGGGCGTGGCTACACCCATTTTCCAAAAATTTATAATATTCTTATTTTTCGTCTAAATATTATTGCAAATATCAATTTTGAATGAATTATCTTCAGTAGTTACTAAAATATCGCAGTTTTCGTATTTCTGAAAATTGCCATTATATGGGAGGTAGGCGTGGTTATTGTCCGTTTTGCCCATTTTCAATACCATCCGTCCTGCGACCGAAAGAAGTGCACGTACCAAGTTTCGTTAAGATATCTCAAATTTTACTCGAATTATCGTGTGTACAGAAGGACGGACGGACGGACGCTTAATCGATTTCTCTTTTCATTCTGATCATTTATGTGTACATTTGTCTATATCTATCTTGATTCGTTTTGCGAAAACCCATGTTTTTGCTGGTTTTTGTGATGAGTCATCATACTTTTTATTCTGATTATAGTGATTATTACACTGGTTTTAAAATCCCCGCAAAGTAGTATCTAAACCGTTTTTGTATCTTGTGTATGTCAGAAGATATGGCAGTTGGAACTTAAAAAAATGAGAAACCAAAATGTCTTCAAAGTGCTATTTGCGCAATAACTTTGTTGGTTTGAAGAAAATTGCAAAAAGTAATAGGATATTTTTTGAACAAAACTTAATTTCCAACGCATTGGCGCAAGTTTCATCTCCTCATCGTCAAAGCCGGAAATACATATAACGAACTGAACATGGAGGTTTTAGCTCACACCTCAGAGTGTATAGGAGTTATAGGTAGGCATGTCCACGTGGCTGTAAAATAATTATTTCCTTTAACATAAAAAAGGTCACAAACCAAGAAGAAAGTCAAAAAGTCCGTAGTTCTTGGTGAGTCTTATGGCGGATTCACCGTTCGTGTCCGGACACTTTTTGTTAGTAATTTTACGCGTTCCTTTCCCACCATGTCTCACTGAGACCGCGACAAAAAGTGCTGAACACTCTTTGTTCGAATCAAATTAATTTTGATTTTCTGTCCTGTTTCTGTGATGATTCGGGTTGCCGCGTTCTCTTTTATATGCGTTTGCAGCAAATTGCTTGTGTTATTTGCCCTCAAAATCGTAAGTAGGCCAGGGTGTCCAGATTATTTAAAAAAATCGCAATTTCTAAAAAAAAAACGCCAAAATTCGCCATTTTTTAATAAAATTCATGAGATCGACTTAACAAATCTCTTATTTTAAAAGTGATATCTTGTTGTAATATAGTTTTTAAAACCAAAAATGAATATAATACTTTCAGGCAATATATGTAATACTCCTATATTGGCAGTAAGAGCTAGTACCGTCCGAAAACACTACAGTACAGATATATCAATAAACACGTACGAAAGAAAAGGAACACATACGTTTATAAATAAACATGTACACAACACATATACAAAAACGGCACTCAAGTACACAATAAATTGACAAAAACGGTACTAGACTGTCGTGCTTCGATTTCGGAATGCTTACACATTGAGAAGTTAGCTTACTGCCAATATAGAAGTATTACAAATATGTTTCAGGGTTATAAAAAATAACACATATCACTTATATAATAGTGATGTACAAACAATTTTCTTTAAATATACGCATACTTTTTAAAAATATTTGTATTAACACATTTTTCAATAGGACTGCTGCGCAATTATTATATTTATTATAACTCATAATAATTGATTAATCGCACAATCCGCTTTTAAGCCCTCGGCTCTAAAAATAAAATAAAACACCTATAAAGCGAGATCAGCTATTTCCACAATTTCTTCAAATCACCAATAGTGCCTGAATCATTTACATTTGTGTTGCTGTCATATATTGAGCTATTCAACCTTGATAACATACAGTTTGATATTGGAAACGTTTTGCAGCAGAAACTATTAGCCTTCATGTAACTTTTTATTCGAACTATTGAATTCAGGCTTTCCAACCTCATCCTATTTCGAATCTTAGTTTTTGTTGAATTCATTACGGAAAAACGCGCTCAACAAAAGCATGAGTGCGGCAAGGATAATAATATGAAGGCTACTTTACTTTTAATTTTATTGCCTGTTGCGGTTTTCACTCCGTAAGCAATTATCCAAAATTCTTCAGAGTCGGATGGAATGCTGTTCTGAAAAAAGTTATTCCATGGGAAAGTAAAAGCTTTAAATATTCCGTTTCCGCTGCTTCTCTTTCCTTCAAAGTCAAATAGTGGATTGGCAGTGACAAAATCAAAGCGTTTTTAAAAGTATTTAATTGATTGGGTAATCGTTTCAAAAGTTCTTCGATTATGGTGATTAAAAATGTTTGACAGTCTTTTAATATGCTTGTTAAGTCAAGTTTATCACGCAGGTCATTAGCCTCTTCTGTAAAATTTGTTCCAAAATTTGTTAAAATGCCTTTGACATTTGCTCCACTTACTCATGTCAACTTAATTTTTATAATTAAATTGCTAATTTCACATTCAGCGGGAGTTGTCACAAGTGGCGGTTTAATATTGGCAAATGCTCCATATGCTACAATAAAATCGATAACAATAAAAAGTGTTACCACATCAAAACTAAAGCTCTAACTCCAAAACCTACTTTTCACGTGTTTCGACACGTTTACATGATAGCACAAAAAAAAAATTTATTTCAAGGGAAAAAATCGCCAATGGCGATTTCCTAAATTTTTAAGAGCAAATATCCAAAAAAATCGACATATTGGCGCTAAATCGCCAAATCTGGACACTCGGATGTAGGCAATAATATCATCAGCTGTTTGGTACAGAACAAAATAAACCGTACTTCAGCACCCTCTCCGGCAAAAATGTTTTGAGAGCAAATAAAAAGTTGTCCGGACACAAACGGTGAACGCGCCTTTACAATATAATAAAAATTTATTATGTTATAATTCTACAGAATTTTTTCTTTTATATGATACCCTTATTGTTATTCTACATTGCACTGAAAGGTCCATTATATTGTAAGACTCACCAAGAACTAAGGTGACTTTTCGACTTTCTTCTTGGTTTCTGACCTTTTTGATGTTAAAGGAAATAATTATTTTACAGCGACATGAACATTAGCGTGGGCCGAAAATCCGCTTTTTTAGAATTTTGATTGGTAATAGCAAAAATATGGTTCATTATGCTGTAACAAAAACCTGTGTGAAAATTTTTGGTCAATATTCTGGCTCGCCCAAGTCCATCAAAGTTCAAGTACTACAAACATTTTTTTCTTAACTAACTTCGATTCTCTACAAAAAAGGTCCATATACCAAGTTACGTACGACTAATACTTTCGAAGATTATTGCAATTTTAGTAAAAAAATTTATAAATTTATTTATTTATTAGTTTTTATTTTTGGAGCATATTGAACTTTGATGGACTTGGGCGAGCCTAGGATATTGACCAAAAAATTCCAAATTGCACACAGATTTTTTTAAAGCACAATGAACCATATTTTTGCTATTACCAATCAAAATTCTAAAAAAGTGGATTTTCGGCCCATGCTAATGGACATGCCTACCTATAACTCCTGTACATTCTGAGCTGTGAGCTAAAACCTCCATGTTCAGTTCGTTACATTTCCGGCTTCGATGATGAGAAGAAGATAAAACTTGCGCCAATGCGTTGGAAATTAAGTTTTGTTCAAAAAATATCCTATTACTTTTTGTAAGCAAATATCACTTTGAAGACATTTTGGTTTCTAATTTTTTAAAGTTTCAACTGCCATATCTTCTGACATACACAAGATATAAAAACGGTTTAGATACTACTGTGCGGGGGATTTTCACAAGCTTTAAAACCAGTATAATAATCACTACAATCAGAACAAAAAGTATGATGAGTCATCGCAAAAACCAGCAATAAACATGGGTTTTTGCAAATTTTAAAGCTAAAGCAAATTACTTTTGCGCTAGAGTTAAATGAATATTATTTCCGATGGATAAACAAGGATTTTACGTAAAAAATTTTTATTGTATGATGAATTTTAACTGAGTTAGAAATGTTATCCTACGAAAAATAAGTCTTCGTGTCTATGTTTATTAATTATTTTCGTTTTTATATTTTAGCTCCGCCATGATGCCAATACCGTGCAAGCAGATAAAGAAGAGGCTATTCGTCTTAGTCAAAGCAAGCCGCTTAATAATTGTAGTAATTCTTGTAATGTTACATAAAGACACGATTACTTTAATTTAAAAGATTCTCGAAATTTGTTTGTGATTAATTTTAATTTTTTTTATAAAATAATTTTTTCAATAATTATATTTAATTAGTAGTATTTAGTCAACGCAGTACTCTAGTAAAAGTAAATATTGTATTAAATATATAACAGATAATGTTCGTACTTCATGTGTGCAAATGTGTACATGTAATTTGCTTATAGCAACACGATAAAAACATGCAAGGTCAATTTTCATTCTATGGAGATGTGAATAAAGAGTGAAAAGACTATTATGCTCCTCAACTGACAAAATTTATTAAATAAGGAAGCACTAGATTTTCACGAAAATTACTTTTAACCGAGAAAATAAAAAAAATAACTTTTATAAGCCAAAAAATTTATTCTTTTATTTGATACGCAATAATATATTATTCGTCATTATATGTAGGTTAAAAACCGCTAGATGTACCACTTTGAGAAAATTATGATCCTTTCGATTACAGAATACTAGTCATTAACACTGAGAGTCCAGGGGCGAACAATTCAGGCTCCCAAAGAGCGCTCTTTAAGAGAACGACATATACGAGCATTAGAACATTTCCCGCTCATTACGTACCGCCGCCGAAGAAGTAGTGGGACTTCAGCGAGTTCGACAGAATAACTGGTACGATAAGGAATGACAAGAAGAAGTAGAGAAAAAGATGCCCCCAGCAGGGCTACGCTGGGATCGAGCGCAACGCGAGCTAGGTGGGACCGATATAGAGAGCTGAATAAGGAAGCGAGACGTATGTATTTGTCGTAGTAAGTTTAGAGAGTCATAAATATGGTAGTTTCATTGCCAGGAACCCGTTGCACAAACACCAATATGCCTATCTTCACGCTCTTCAGAATCTAACAAGGACAATTGAGAAGTCCCTGGAGGACAAAGAGGTGGCGGTGGGTTGCTTCTTGGATGTGTACGGTACTTTCGACAACACGGCACACTCTCTAATAGACAATTTCGTTCGCGCACAGGGGTCGATAAAACCACATGTCGCCGGATAGCAAACGTCCTTAATTCCAGAACTATTACATCCACTCTAGGACAGGAAAGGGTCAGCTTCTTAGCTACGAAAGGTTACCCGCAGGGGGGAGTGATCTCCCCTCTGCTATGGTCCATTCGTGTAGATGAACTACTCTGCCTTCTTAGCGAAAACGGCTTCGACGTTCAGGGCTATGCGGATTGCCATCCTAATCAGAGGAAGGGTCGAAGATACTATCTCCAACCTCCTACATAATGCTTTGAACATAGTCGCCAATTGATGTAGTAACAATGAGTTAAACGTAAACCCGAAGAAGACTAGCATAGTCATTTTCTCCAGGAAAAGGAAAAGGGACAAATTGGTAGAACCATTCCTTCAAGGTGAAAAGATACACTTCTACAAAGAGGTCAAATATCAAGGAGTTATCCTTGATGACAAGTTCTCATGGAATTCGCTTCTAGATAAAACTATTCAAAAGGCCAAAACTTCAAGGTCTTTTTCCCCGACAGGAATAACAGGGACAACGAACGACCTAAACCCCGGAACGACAGCCACATCTGGTATACTGACTGCTCAAAGACTGACCACGGCGTCGGAGCAGGAGTCTACGGCGTACAACCCAGACAGCTCCTTTTCATCATCATGGAGCAAGGTAACTATATCTTTCATGCCGAGATTCACGCCATTGAACTTTGAGGCAGTATGTAGAAAGTGGGGCAACCAAAAAACACATCTACATACTCTCGGACAGCAGATCTTAAAGTGCACGAGGTCACCTATAAGCTGGTGTGGGACTGTCTTCACATTTTAATACTGATCGCTTCCAGGAACCGGGTATACCACATATGGGTACCGGGACACAGTGGAAGTCATGGGCAAGAACGTAGCAGATATTATCGCCAGAAAAGGGGCTGCACAAGGATTCATAGGCCCAGGACCCTTTCCCGGTCTGCCATGGAGTTCCGTTAGGCGA